TAACTATAGTTAAAGAGAATGATAAAGTAAATATTTTATATTTGACTATGATATAAATTATATAATAATAAATCAATAATTATATTTTTCATCTATTCAATTGGCAATGATAGTTCAAAAATGAAAATGCATCTCTCTCTAATATATTGAATATAAATTTAAATTAAATTTTTGGAATATAATAATTTATATTATAAAATTGCTATTGTGGGTAATAGTCGTGCCCCACTCATAAAAATGAAATCATGATTAAAGTATTGATTTAAATAATCCTTAAAAGAATGATTATGACGACAAACACTCAAAATTCTAAGCGAACATGGAAACAAAAGTTATGATTAGTGTTTTTATTTCTTATGGATTTGGGATAGCTGTGGTTGTATGCAATCTAAGGGTGTATTTGGGGCGATTGTTGTTTTTTGAAGAAACTGCAGTAAATTTGTTTCTAGGTGAAGCAGTTTTCAGCATCTGTCAGAAAGCTACTAATGAAGAAGCAAGTGTCTGTTTGGAAAATCTGTTGTGTTGCTGTTATTTCTGATGAGAAATATTGTTTTGCCCTTATATGTGTAATATATTGAAATAAGTGCAATTTATAGAATATTCATACTAAAAAACAGAAAGAGGTCGTACTGCTAAAATAACTAACAGTCATATCCAAAATAATTTAATACATAAAAAGTTCATCTCTAAGTTATGAGGTCGAGTTCTAATGATACACAAGTTTCCACAACTTCCAAATCCATGAGAACCTTCTTAAGGTCACTCGGGCAATAACTGAGGTTTGGAACACCCTACCCGCATTGTGGTTTGAGCCAACCGTTAGCGATGATTTTCCCAAAAAATGGCTACTAAAAATGCATATTTTTGAATTTCAAGGGTTATATTTCAGTCATGTGTGGTCCCACATAGCTCATAGATCGAAGAAACCATCCATCAGACAATATATGTGAAAATCAGCATTTTTAGGCCAGACCGACGCTGGGTGCCAAGCTCAGGTGCTTCGGCACCCAAAACTGCCTTTGGAGCCTCCAAACCAAGCATATGGAAGTCGGGCACCAGTTTATAGAACCTAGGCACCAGCCCCGAGTGCTTAGGGGCCCAAAATTGCTAAAAATGATCATTTTACCGAGACAAGGGAAAGTAGGCGCTAGCTCCATGGCGCCAGACTGAGTGCCCATGCATCAAGATTGAGACAACTAGGAGCCGGTCCAACTTCCAGAACACAATTTGATTCATTTTTTTAATGTTGATTTGCCCCGGTGCAACCCCTAATGAGCATAAATGACAATGGTTTACTTGGCTTTGGGGGATTTGCTTGGGGGGAGATAAAGAGGGTGATTATATCTCATTTAGCCCTCTTCTAAAAGCTTCGAGGGTGAGGTGGAAATGCTATTTTAGGCAAAAATGGATGAAATGGGAGGTGGTTAGCTTGTGTCCCTTGAGCTCCCCCATTTTGATGAGATCCTCCTCACTTTAGCATTTTTGGTCCCCTCCAAGTGTTGAATACCTTCTTCTTCCCTTGAAGACTTGAGAGCTAGGAGCAAGAGAGGAAGACTCTTCATCTTCCTCAAGGAGGAAACACTATGGGGGTTGGTCATCTTCAACCTTCTTCTTCTTCTTCCTCCTCTCCTCCTTCAACCTCCACGAAGAAATCTTCTTCTTTCTCCACCATTCCTTGAGTGTGTAGAAGATTTTCTTAACGAAAAAGAGTTTGTTTAGCAAGGGAGCAAGGTGCCTACTCTCCTAAACTAAAGGAGAGCATAATTCTAGCTTGGGGAAGGATAGCCGAAGAACCGTCGAAACTTCGTTGGATTCCTGCACTCTCCTTCTAAAGGAGAGCTTCGTCGTTCTTTGGAGGAGTGGAGCGGACCTCGTCAAAGCTTTGTCGGAACGACACCATCTCTCCTATCACTATGAGAGCTTCATCTCCCGTGAACAAACACAACATCAAACTCCACGTTGGTGAGATTTTCTGAAACCTCTCGTGTTTTCTTTCTTAGCTAGCCCAAAAAGACATCAAACACCAGGGAAGTTGGCCGACAGAGTTAGGAGGCAGCGCGTGGCAAACGGGAGCAAAGGGGGTGGCTTGCCGACAATTTTACCGTGTAACTCAAATTCATCCAAATTGATCAAATTCTAAATTTAGTCGAAATAAACTCGGTTGTGAACTTCAAATTTATTTATACTTTATGTTATATTTGTATTTCTTCATGCCAAACAAATAATTCCCTAAAATTCATATAAAACAATTACAATACATGACAAATCCTTCCAACCAACCAACCAACCCATTAATTAAACAAAAGTTAAATTATCTTTTTCTGATCTGAGAATAAAATAAAAACAATAAAACACTCACGTTATAACTTTCATTTAAATATTTATGTAGTTTTTTTTTTATGTTTATTAATTAATTTTTATATAATATTTATAGTTAATGTGAGCTTCAAATACTTTTCATGAATGTATTTAATATAAAAAAGTTTTAATTTTAAATTAATTTTAATCATATTTTATTTAAATTAATTAATTAATTTAAAATTTTTAATTATAATTTATATCGTTTTTATGTAAGTTAATATGGAGCTTTACTTGAACATCTCAATGATTTTTACACTAATTTTAAATGAAACGTTTTATTTATTTATTCAATAAATTTGTCCACCCTATAAAAAAATTTCGTTCCGCCCATACTTTTCAAAAATGTAAGATGCTACATATTTTTTTGGTCAATTCTGATATATA